GCACCGCGAGGGCGGAGCTGCGTTGTGCTCAGCACAGACGTTGGCGGCACCGCCTCGCTTTGCGACAACTCGGGGCCGCATCCACAGTGAATAAAATCCTTCCTGTTTCTAGCCCTGAATAACGAAGGTCAGAGACTGCTTAGAATGGTTCAGAGTGGAAAACGGGAAACTGAAATCCCCTCTGAATCCTGCGCACAGAGGTTCTCTCCACCCAAGGGTTTGGGTTTTAGGGTTAGGGTTTTAGGGTTAGGAATAGGTCGAGGGCGAGGGTGAGGGTGAGGGTTAGAGGGTAGAGATAGGGTTAGGGTTAGGGGTTAGGTTAGGACTAGGGTTAGGGCTAGGGTTAGGGGTTAGGGTTAGGGATTAGGGTTAGGGTTTTAGGGTTAGGGCTAGGGCTTTAGGGTTAGGGCTAGGGTTAGGGTTCGTGTTCGGGTTCGGTTTTGGGGTTAGGTTTAGGGTTTAGGGTTAGGGTTTTAGGGTTAGGGTTAGGGATTAGGGTTAGGGGTTAGGGTTAGAGGTTAGGGTTTTAGGGTTAGGGTTAATGTTTAGGGTTAGGGTTAGGTTAGGGTTAGCGTTTTAGGGTTAGGGTTTAGGGTTAGAGTTAGGGGTTAGGGTTAGGGTAGAGTTAGGGTTAGGGTAGGGTTAAGGTGAGGGTGAGGGTTAGAGGGTTCGCTTTAGGGTTAGGTTAGGGTTAGGAGTTGGGGTTAGGGTTACGGTGAGTGTGAGGGTTAGGGGTTAGGGTCAGGGTCAGGGTTAGGGTTTTAGGGTTTTGGGGTTTTAGGGTTGGGTTAGGGTTAGTGTTTGGGTTATGGTATTAGGGTTAGGGTTATGGTTAGGGTTAGGCGTTTGGGTTAGAGTTAGGGGTTAGGGGTTAGGGTTGGGGTTGGGCTTGGGGTTGGGTTTAGGGATTGGGGTTAATATTACGGTTAAGGGTTAGGGTTAGGGATTAGGGTTAGAGGTTAGGGTTAGGGTTTTAGGGTTAGGGTTAAGGTTTAGGGTTAGGGTACGGTTAGTGTTAGGGTTTTAGGGTTTAGGGTTAGGGTTAGCTTTTAGGGGTAGGGTTAGTGGTTAGGGTTTTTGGGTTAGGGTTAGGGTAGAGTTAGGGTTAGGGTAGGGTTAAGGTGAGGGTGAGGGTTAGAGGGTTTAGGTTAGGGGTTGGGGTTAGGTTTAGGGTGAGGGTTAGGGTTAGGTTAGGGTTAGGGTTTAGGATTAGGTGTTAGGGTCAGGGTCATTGTTAGGATTTTAGGGTTTTGGTGTTTTAGCGGTAGGGTTAGGGTTAGTGTTAGGGTTATTGTTAGAGGGTTAGGGTTATTGTTAGGGTTAGGGGTTAGGTGTTAGGGTTGGGGTTGGTTTTGGGGTTAGGGGTTGAGATTAAGGTTAGGGTTAGGGTTTAGGGTTAGGGTTAGCGTTAGGGTCAGGGTGAGGGTGAGCGTGAGTGTCAGGGTGAGGGTGAGGGTGAGGTTGAGCGTGAGGGTGAGGGGTTAGTGTTAGGGGTTAGGGTTAGTGTTTTGGGGTTAGGGTTAGGGGTTGGGGTAGGGGTAGAGTTAGGGTTAGGGTTAGTGTTAGGGGGTTAGGGTTAGAGGGTTAGGGTTAGGGTGGTTAGGGTTAGGGTGGTTAGGGTTAGGGTTTAGGGTATAGGCTTAGGGTTAGCAGTTAGGTTTAGGGTTTTAGGGTTAGGGGGTTAGGGTTAGGGTTAGAGGGTTAAGTGTTAGGGTTAAGGGTTAGGGTTAAGAGTTAAAGGTTAGTTTTAGGGTTGGGGTTAGGGTTAGGATAATGTTAGGTTTAGGGGTTAGGGTTAGGGTTTCGGGGTTAGGGTCAGGGTTAGGGGCTAGGGGTTATGGTCAGGGTGAGTGTGAGGGTGCGGGTTAGGGTTTAGGTTTAGGGTCCGGGTTAGGGTTAGGGGTTAGGTTTAGGGGTTAGGGTTAGGGTTAGGTTTAGGGGTGGGACAGGGTGTCATCCCTCAGTTCACCTGAGACAAATACCTATATGATTGCTTCCTCTGCCCTGTGTAAAATGCATCTTCACTGAGCCACACTAAAGTGTAAGTCACCATTCCTCTACCCCCACTCACAAGTCAATTGTATATTTACCAAAAGGCTTATGAAAGACTCAAAACAATGCAATCCTTTGTCTCTTGTCCACCTATAACCTGGAAGGCCCCCACCTTTGTGTTTTCCTGCCTTTCCAGATGGAACTCTGTCTCCGAAAAACAAACAAACAAAATGTGGCTTTTAGATATTTGGATGTGGGAGTTTTTCTTGCAGACCAGATGTCAGACCCTTGCCTGAGACGGCGGTGGGGCCACCAAGGAGATGGTGGCCCTCATGCTGCCCCAGTCTCACTCCTACAGGCTCACCCCCAATCTTTCCCACGATGCAATGCGACTACAGAGAAGTGGGACATACTCACTTTAGGTACTGCTGATACTCATGCGCATTCTTCCCACGAACAGCATGAACGTTGACCAACTCCAGCGTAATGAGGAACAGGATCAGGCTGAGCACAGGGGACAGTAGTCTGATAATAAAAACAGATGAAAGTAAATTCAAACGTGAGGAACATTGGTATTTTCCACCTTCATCAGGAAAAAGATGTTTCACCACATCAACATCCTTAAGTTACAACTTCTCAAAAAATAATTTTCCTAATCCTCAGATCCCAATGCCTGCTTCCAGCCCCCAGGCCTGTGGCTGGCAGGAGTGCCCGGTGTAGCCCTTGCTCCCGGCCCATCCTGCACGTCCGCATTCCTTGCTCATCAGTCATCATCTGAGACTCTCAGACATCTGACGGTCTACGTCAGGGCTGCCAGGGGCTCTGCACACTCACGGAGCACCAGGCAGGCCCAGTCTGCGCCCAGCAGCCCCCCTGCTCCCTGCCCTCTGACATCTAGGGAGGGACTCTCACCAGAGGAAAACAAATGGCCTCAATACGCTCAATGCCACCAGATTAAAGAAATCCCAACTATAGTAAGATCTTATTTTTCCCATGAAACTAGTTGAGACATTTAAAAATATTCTGGTTTTGGAGAGTGTTAATAAGAGAATGACCTTGTCTTATAAACTGCTGGTAAGAGTGTAAATTGAGTAGCACCCTTCTGAAGGGGAATCCAGTGGTATATATTTAAAACTTTAAAAACACAGATACCACTCAACCCAAAAGTTCTAGAAATGTATCCAAAATGGTCATTTCTTAAGGATGTAGCACATTCTAAAATATATACTGTAAGTGAAGGAACCATAATGCTGTTAATCTGCTATTAAGTTAATCTGCTGTTATATTTTAAATCCAAATCCAGTTAATCTGCTGTTATACTTTAAATCCAAATATTCATTTAGGTAGATAGAACTCACATTTCCATAGGCCAAATTACAAACACTATTTAAAATAGTATGTACTATAACTTTCTATGAAAATCAGCATAGGGAGTCCTCACAGTCCTCAGGTAACATCATTTCATTCCACACCGTTTCATCACAACATCAGTGAGAAAAGAAATCGATACACCGTGAGGGCCACGGTCTGTGTGGAGAAGCACGTTCTGCATGGGTTTTCTCCCATCCCCCAGTTTCCTCCCACATCCCAGAGCCGTGCACATTAGGTGAACTGGCACATCTCCATGGTCCCAGAGTGAGTGTGGGTGTGTGACTGGCCCTGCGAAGGAACCATGTCCTATCCAGGGTGGGTCCTGCCTTGTACCCGGAGCTGCTGGGATAGGCTCCAGCCACCCACAACTCTGAACTGGAATGAACAAGTTGGAAAATGAATGAATGAATGAATGAATACAAATTATAAGAACTTGTAAAGTCTACCATCATCATACAAGTGCTTGACAGTGCGTGTCGGTACAAAAGTGCTCAGTGACCCACAGATTTGTTCCTGTTGGTGCTGGAGCTGTGGGTGGGGGGAAGGGGGCGGGCCTGGGGAGGTCTCGCTCTGCAAACATTTACTGCCTCATTTAACCACCACAGGACTGCCGTCACTCACTGCCTCGCCAAACACTGAGTAGTTCTCACTTGTTTTTATTCATCTTTCTTAAATGTCCATAGAGCTCATATGTGCCTCAATGTTTAACACTGTAAGTGTTTTGGATCTTTCTTTAGAAGTTTGGCAATATTTTTATGACCAGAAACATGCTGTGGGAACTTAACTTTTGTTTCCACCGTGCAAGGAAAATAAATCTCAGTACCCCAAACTCACTAAGCCAAAGGGAAAAGTCAAGCTAGGAACTGCCTCAGGCAAACCTGCCTCCCATTTTATTCCTAAATAAGGTGGCTACAAGAGAAAAAAGCTACATACAGACCTCCCTCACAGTTTGTCCACAAGGAAATGCCTCGTGGGCCTCAAGATCTCTACCTGGAAAGACTTCTGCTGAATTTCACCCTGGCAATGCAGTTGCCAGCTGATCTTCCCAGGTGTGGGACAGGGCGTCATCCCTCATCTCACCTGAGACAAATACCTATATGATTGCTTCCTCTGCCCTGTGTAAAATGCAGCTTCACTGAGCCACACTAAGGTGTAAGTCACTATTCCTCTACCCCCACTCACAAGTCAATTGTGTATTCACCGAAAGGCTTTCGAAAGACTCAAAACAATGCAATCCTTTGTCTCTTGTCCACCTATAACCTGGAAGGCCCCCACCTTTGTGTTTTCCTGCCTTTCCAGATGGAACCAATGTACACCTTACACCTACTGACTGATGTCTTATGTCTAATTAAAATGTATAAAAATGTATAAAAGCAAGCTGCGTCCCAAGTACCTGGGGCACATGCTGTCAGGATCTCCTGAGGCTGTCACAGCACGTCCTTAACCCTGGGAAGGTAAACTTTCTAAAAGGATTGAGCCCTGTCTCAGATACGTTGGGTTCATACTATCCGTTGTGAACTCCAAGTATACCAACACCTGTCGATGGGTTCAGTGAGGGGCCTACTGTGTGTGTCTTCAGTAGGGACTGGAACTGCATCTGTGACAGCTTCCTGCCCCACAGTGCCCCTCCAAAACAGGAAAGTGAGCGCACACCTACTCCATATACGCAGGTAGTTCTGCCGCTGGCGAGACCGCAGCGTCCTCTCCACCCACTGCCTGTGTCTCAGCTCCGAGGCAATGGTGACCTGGCCAGACACGTGGTGACACTGCTTGCCGATGCTTTGGAGCACAAGAAGCACTTCCAGCACAATCCTGGGGCAGAAGAGGGTAGGAAAGGGTGTGCTGCAGAGCTCACGGAGCAGCTGGGGCCACCTGCAAACAGAGCCAGACTTGGAGCAGGCATTGTGATCCTCACCTGTACCTCACTCTCCTTCTGTACCTGCAAGGCTGCGGCTTTCTGGGAGCCAGGGCTAGCTGCGTATCACTGGTGGGTCTGCAGCGACAACCGTGACATGCGGCAAGTGTTAATTAAATACACTGAATTGTGGCAAACAGAATGTGACATTCACAGCCTCATCAGATGTGCCACGCTTGCACAGAGATTGTCATAACTGATCTCATAATTCCTCTTGGAGCAGTTACAGTGGGATTCTAAGACTACTTTATAAAATCTAAAACATAGAAAATGTCTAAGTTTGCTATGCTAATCTGCAGAATCAATGTTTCAACAGTTGTCAGGATGTCCTGGAACTTACGTCTCAGTAGGAAGATGATCCAAGTCCTTTAAAACACAATGATTCTCAGGCACATGATGATACAGTCCATCCGTCATTTTTGTAATTAAAGAGTGGCTGGCATTTGTTTCAGAATTATCTTCTAATCTGAAAAATAGAAAATATTTAAAGATATATGACAATTAAAATGCCCACATTAGTGCCCATGCACAATAATGGTTAATGGTTCACTGAGCAGCAACCTGACTGTGAATCTTAGTTTCCCCAAATATAAAATGTAAAAAGCCACCATCACGGGACAGTGGAGAAAGAAACGATGCCCTAAGCCATAAGCAAAGTCCAATGATGACTGATGACGAGACGACGAACCACCTGCGTATTCCTCCTGCTGAACAAGTATGTCTGCTGTTGTCTACGATTCCAGAATGCATGCCTCCATCCCCACTTCTCTCCTGAGCTTCAGACCCATCTTTCTTTCTGCCTACTCAGTAGTTCTCATGGACGCCATTGTCTACCCTCAAAACCTGCCTCTCGTTCCATGTTCAGTCTCCACCAGGGCCCCAGGCCAGCTGGAAGATCGCGTTCAGCATCACTTGCAGCTCCTCACAGCCACCAAGGCCCAGAAATTCCTCCTTCCCCTTTTATCTTCCAACAGCCTCGCTAAAGAAGAAATGCTGCTGAAACTAACAGTACCAGACAAGCTTGAGGTCAGCCAGGCCCCAGGATGCCACGTACCTGACTGCTTCCCAAGTGAGTCCTTTGGGGAAAGGCAGCAGAGCCCAAACCCTGATACTCTCCTCAAAGCTCAGCACCTGCGATGAAATGTTTTATTGATTTTGTAGATTTCACGGTAACTTCCTAGAAAATCTGTTTTTAGATTGTTATGGATGTTACATCTCTCTCTAGAAAATACGTATCTATAAAATTATTACAAATTCTAAACATTTTAAAACCAGATGGTGGGTGTCAGTTCTTCAGTACAGATGGGGGAAGGCTGGGGAAACTACCAGGGGATTGGTAGGGAGTGAACGTCTGGGGTGGCTATGACCATATCCACAGGTTCTTTCGACACCTGCCATTGAGAGGGAGGACCCCACCAAATCTGTACCAGCTCTGGTGACTGGCCTGGAACCAGGAGAACACAGCAGGTGTGAAGATGCTGCGTGTTATGTAAAGCCATGTCAGAGGCGCAGGTGCCTCTCTAGTTCAGGCCGTCCTTGGGGTGCAGCCGCTGTCACCTTGAGACTGTCCCTGCAGGACCCCCATGAGGCCTCTGGCCAACTTCCAGTCTTCTCAGACGCAACATCCACGAAGCCCTGGGGGACCACAGCTGTCCACACCCAGGCCAGGCCACAGGACAGATCCCTCGGCAGATGCTCCCCATTTCTAACCCACTAGCATATGAACAAGTCAAACGGTGGCTGCTGACACCACAGAGCGTGAGTGGTCTCAACAGCAGGAATATCCGAAAGCCCAGGATGCAAAGCTGCCTGAATACCTGTGAGATGCCAGGAGGGGGACAGGAAGTGGTAAGGACCCAAATAGCCACCGTGGGGCACGGGAGAGGATGGTCTGGAGCCTCAGCTGCTCTGGTTGGAAGACAAAGGCTGCCTTCTTGAAGCTCCTCTTCCTTCCTAAATCTTCCCTGCTCCACCTTCCTAAGGGCTTGCACTTGGAAAGCACGTCAATCCCCACTGGTAAAGCTGGTCTGCAGCGCCAACGGGGAATGGCATCCGACCAGTGCAGCCCGATGCTCTGCCTCCAAGCCACACCTCCAGGAGGCTGTTTTCCCAACCTCACTGCTGACAGCCCCCTTCTGACAGTATTTTCCTTAAGGCATTCTCAAGGAGGCCTCCGAGTTCTCAAGGCACCATTTCTTTAAAGCACCTTTGCAAATCTCTCCTGACCCGCTGTATGTTGATTTTACAGCTTCGTTTTAGAGGTAGTCTCATTCATGAATTTTCACCTGCACAGCTGTTACGATGCTTATATTCTTGGAGACTGTCTTTTTCATCCCCTTGCACTACCCTTGTATCCTCCCGTATGTAGAATAAAGCCCCTTCGCTGATTGCCAAATTGGAGCTTCCTGGCAGAAATGCTTAAAAAATTGTTTGTTTCAGTAAGTTAACAAAAGCTAGTCCGTGTAGGAGAAGAAAAACTGACATTACTCACCACTGACAAATAAAAACTGCTCCCAGCTCTGCATTACTGCCTACAGTAATAAAAGCCTGCCAGGGGATTCAGCAAAAACACTTCCCAGTGCTCATCCATTTAACACTAAAAACCTCAGTGTCATCAGCACTGCATTACTTTCAACCGTGAGACATGGAACTTGAGGCTCAGAAGACTGAGCAACCAGGCCAGGGCCACAGCAAGCACCACGCTGGCTAGAAAGCTGGATCTGCCCAACTCAAAGTCTGACTCAGCAGGCAAACTGCACCCTTCCAGCATCTCTGCAAAAGACAGGTGGTTTCAGAGACGTACACACCCCTCCCAGCACCCTGCATTCGGCATACCTGTTTTTTAGGCTGAAAAACCGGATGGCAGCGAGAACTATAGCCTTCTGCAAGACTAATCAACAATTCTACTGCTGCTTTTTCCTAGTTTAGAGAAAACAGTGGCTACTATAGTGTTTGGGTAGACTTAGTTTTCTTCTATCGAACTGTAGGCCAATTAGAGTCCCCATTTCTCATTATCTTTCTTCAAACAATTTTTTGCAGCTAGAAAAGCTGCACTAAATAGGTTCACTAAAACGCTTCACTAAAATAGGTTTCACATGGCAAGGAAATCACAGCCAATAAAGTGATTTTAAATGGAGGCCATTAACAATAATAGATCACAAAGGCCACACCCACCCTCTCTGCACAAAACTGGAGATGAATAAGAAAAAAAGGATTCCAAACAATTGGAAATTTAACTAGGAAATAGTTACTTAAACACTAAAAAACAATACAACTAAAAAAAAATCACATAATCATTTAATTGCTAAGCACATACATATTTTTACAAGCATAAAAATTACATAATTTGAAGCTAATATAACCACATAACTTAAAAATCCAAGTCAGTCAACTGAAACCTATGAGAAACGAAGTCAGTGAATTGATAGTTGACAAATTAAAAAATCTGTAACTACCTACAGTTCTTTTTACTTTTCTTTTTTCTTTTTTTTTGAGACAGAATCTTACTTTTTTTGCCCAGGCTGGAGTGCACTGGTGCGATCTCAGCTCACTGCAACCTCTGCCTCCCAGGTTCAAGCGATTCTCCAGCTTCAGCCTCCTGAGTAGCTGGGATTACAGGCACCCACCACCAAGTCTGGCTAATTTTTTTGTATTTTTATTAGAGACGGGGTTTCACCACGTTTGGCCACACTGGTCTTGAACTCCTGACCTCAGGTGAACCACCTGCCTCGGCCTTCCAAAGTGCTGGGATTACAGGTGTTAGCCACTGCACCCGGGCCGCTACCTACAATTCTTAAAAGCACAAAACAAACAACTCAAGTAGCTAGATGTTAACTACAGAAGAAATGTGCTGGCCTTCCCTTCACTCAGATGTGTGAGAGCCTGGAGTGCACCAGGGAGTGTGCTGGGCAGAACACGGGAGGCACACACATGTGCCTGCACGGGTGATGTCCCCACAGGGCAGACCCACACGCAGCATATGTGTGTCACTGCAGAGCAGCGTATGTATCCCACTGCAGAGCGGCGTATGTATCCCACTACAGAGCGGCGTATGTATCCCACTACAGAGTGGCATATGTGTGCCACTGCAGAGCAGTGTATGTATCCCACTACAGAGCGGCATATGTGTGCCACTGCAGAGCAGCGTATGTATCCCACTGCAGAGTGGCGTATGTGTGCCACTGTAGAGCAGCCTACATATGCCACTGCGAGCAGTGTATGTGTCACTGCAGAGCAGCGTACATATCCCACTGCAGAGCAGCATATGTGTGCCACTGCAGAGCAGCGTATGTATCCCACTGCAGAGTGGCGTATGTGTGCCACTGCAGAGCAGCCTACATATGCCACTGCAGAGCAGTGTATGTGTCACTGCAGAGCAGCGTATATATCCCACTGCAGAGCAGTGTATGTGTGTCACTGCAGAGCAGCGTATGTATCCCACTGCAGAGTGGCATATGTGTGACACTGTAGAGCAGCCTACATATGCCACTGCAGAGCAGTGTATGTGTGCCACTGCAGAGCAGTGTATATATCCCACTGCAGAGCGGTGTATGTGTGCCACTGCAGAGCACCTGGCTTCTGTTCCAAGACGTGAACCCACCTGAGGGCTTCTGAGGAGAGGATGACATGTTGCAGAAGGATCAGTCTGGCTGCTGTGTTATGACAAGGGGAAGGGCTCGCAGAAGTCGGTGGGCAGACCAGTCAGTGCCAGCGACATTCCAGGGAGGGACCAAGGCGGTATGGCCAGGTGGTGGCACAGGAGGGACAGGAAGAAGCAGATGTGGAACATATTTCTTTTTTTCTTCTTCTTCTTTTTTTGAGACGGAGTCTTGCTCTGTCATTCAGGCTGGAAAGCAGTGGCACAATCTCAGTTCACTATAACATCTGCCTTCCGTGTTCAAGCTATTCTCAGGACTACAGGCACCCACCACCATCCCAGCTAGTTTTTGTATTTCTATTAGAGACAGGGTTTCACCATGTTGGCCAGGCTGGACTCGAACTTCTGATCTCAGGTGATCCACCTGCCTTGACCTCCCAAAGTGCTGGGATTACAGGCATGAGCCACCGTGCCCGGACTGTGGAACATATTTCTAAAACCTATTCCAAGGACGGAGTATGAAGAGAGGAGAGGAATCTGAGGCTTCCAACCTGAGCAGCCACCTGGGAGGCTGGAGGTGCCACGTAGGTGAGAGGACTTGAGGAATGAAGATGGGGAGACACTGTGTCCCTGAATAAGCTTCAATATTGTGAAAAATGTCAATTATCCCTAACTCAATCCATGAGGTGTTCTTATTTGTTTTGGGGGTTTTATGTTTGTCCAAGTTTACACAGAATAATAACTATTAATTTTTTTTAAAGTAAAGCTAGACTCTGTACCTTACTCTCAAGATGAAATAAATTCCAGTTGGATCCAAAGACATAAATGGAAAATAAAGAAAAAATAGGTAGGGCACGTTGGCTCATGCC